CATTCACTGACATCATCACCTTTACGTCCAACTGATTTTTTCTCTCACATTCTGCGATATGTTCATCGAAGTGTAGCAATAACCAGCGAAAGAGCACATTGCTATAAGAAGTTTACTTTCAATGAAATTTTATCTAACGGTAATAGATGCTTTGTAGCCATCCCAATATTCTACGCTTGAAAGGATACTTTCATGATAAGGAACGAGTTTATATCATACTGGAATATGCAGACGGTGGTGAACTGTACAATCGTTTAAAGAAGAAGGGGAGGCTAGAAGAAGCTGAAGCTGCACGGTATGAAGTTTAGTTTTTTTTAGCGGCATTTACACGCCCAGTTGATTGTTATTAAATTATTTTAACATTTTCCTTAGATGGTGATGTTCTTTCAGTAGTTTACAACAATTTCTGATTCTCTTTTCTCTCAAGGGATGTGTGTCGAATAGAGTTCCAAAATTCATGACGCTGCGCAGTTCATTTGCTAGCTCAGTTGCTGACGAGTCGTAAGCCTTTTGTTTTAGTGCCTAGAAATTTCACTTTCTTGTTGAAAGAACGAGTTTTCTCTGAACTTCTTTTTGCTTCATTTCAGATAATAGAAGGAGAGAAAGAGGAGGCGAGTCATGAATTTTTGTTATTCATTTGTTTGGAGTGTTTCTTTTTTTGAAATTAATGTTCTTTGGAGTGTTGAGATTGCTGTACTGTTTATGAGTTGTCCCATTTTAATGTGTAAGTACTTAAATCTCATGCTTTCAATCTGAGAGTTCGTGTGCTTGCAGATACATTTACTCAAATAAGGAGAATTGATACCGTGAATCAGTTTTGCAAAAAGAAGATGCTGAGTTGAGAACGTTGAGAACCCAATAATTTATGAATAACATTCAACAAAAAAACACTTTAATGAGTTAAAAGCTGTTGAAGTTGTTACTTTCTTTTCCTCTTAACGCCTGAATTGGAGAAGAATATGAGCAAGAAGAGGAAGTTTTAGAAACCTTTCCAACAATAACAGCAGTTTTGTGTAGTTTAATCAAAGGGCTTATGACTCATCGACGGCTAAGCCAGCAGTAGCTTGGGTTTTCATGAATCTCACCTGAATTTTGAGTATTAGAAGTTTGGATGAAAAACATGATAGAATGCTTTCAGTTATGTCCGTCAACTAGCAGATGCTTTGAGTTACTGCCATGCCAAACGAGTAATCCATCGTGATATCAAGCCTGAAAATATATTACTTGATCAGAAGGGAAATGTCAAAGTAAGTTATTCTCCCTATCTTACTCTTCTCATTCATTAATTTAGATAGCGGATTTCGGCTGGGCTGTGGTATCCTCTTACTCCCGTCGACAAACCGTTTGTGGAACATTAGATTACTTACCCCCGGAAATGATTAGTGGCAGATCGCATGACCATACTGTAGGTTTCGATTTAAGACATACCTGGACTTGTTGTTTTCGATAACAAAGCTCTACAAATGGAAGAGTCTTCAATGTCCTCATTTCTAGTCGATTCGTCTTGCATCTCGACATGCAAAAGTTTTCTTAGCTTTTCATTGATATTTACGAAAGACTAGAATAATTTTTATTAGTTTAGTTGAAGTCATAGATACTCAAAAGAAAGGGGTGCGATTTGAAGAAAAGTGAAAAATAGAAAATATTTCTAGCGCCATTAGCATATTTTGTAAAGTATCGAAACAAGAGAGGAAAAAGCAACGATCACAAATGATGGAATGTTGGAGTTGGCTATCCATGCGATCGGTATCCGTAGGTGGAGTTCAGCAGTGATGTTGTTTAAATGGATTTGATACTAGTTTAAAAAACGTTGCCTTTAGCTTGACAATGTGATGCCATAGGAGAGGATGCTTTGTTGTTGTTTTTTCTCAAGTAATGCAAAACACTTTTGAGAATTGGGTTTTTCAAAAACAAGGGTTCGGAAATTGTATCAATTCGAAAATGCGGATTTTGGCATTACACTCAAGCTTTACTATTCTTCTTACAAAAGTAAAAACAAAGTCAGTATTCTCCATCGAAGTATGTAGCTGAATCTAATTTCTGGAGGCAAATCTAGCCGCTCAGATGTGCAACAGATTCTAAATTTAATGATATGATTTGATAAAATATACATAATACATTACATGATTAATATAATATATTCTTAGTTGATTAAGCTTTTTTTT